TACCACCTCAGAATCTCTTTTCCTTTCCAATTCTTCCTTCTTCTCAAGGGGGCACAAGACAAAAGAAGGAAAAGTTTAAACTAAAAAACTACGAAAACGACCAAAAAAGAAAAACAAACAAAGAAAAAAACACAGATTCTGAAAAAGAAAAAATATAAAAAGAAATCTAAGACCCTAAAGACACTATTATAACCTGTGCATGGTTGGTAAAAATTATATAACAAATGCAACATTTGTATATCTCTATTGTAAAACTTTATCTTAACGTTAAAGTTTACTTTCCGACCCTTCTACCGACTTCGGATGGCTCTGTTGCTTGTTCTAATTCATATCTCGAGCCAGATGCTGCTAGCATCCACTTATTTGTGCCAGTAATACAAACCTTTAAAAAAGAAATAGCCAATTGGAAAACATAAAATGTAATAATTCTGAATCAGCCCAACATGTAAGCAAAGCAAAGAAAAACATCGAAAAAGAGAAAATACTCAAAACTAGTAAATCGACCTTAATGGACTAATAAAAAATAATGAGAATAAAATTTTACATATAAAAACTCAAATCATCACTAAAAGCTCACAACTCTAATACTAACTCTAACGCTAACCCTAACATCCGAATCCTAAACTTTCTTAGTTTATTTACAAATGCGATTTCCTTTTTTGGTTTGTATTACCGGCACAAATAAGTAAATTGGGTGCTTCTGCCATCCGAGGACCCGTATTTCAAGCCACCTGCTGCCATAATTAGAGTTCCCAGGCTAAGTCCCGTGAAGTAGCGCCATATCCGTCCGTAAACAAACACGTGGTTGCATTTTACTAGACTGTCTAAATTTGGGAAGTAGACAATGCTGATCTTTTGTAGAGGGTAAGCCAAATCCTCACTTTTTGTCAAAAAATTTTGAAAGAAAAGCAAGAAAGCAGAAAAAGAATAGTAGGAACCACTTGGTTAAAAAAAAAGTGTGTAGCTTAAAGGAAGCCCGTTCTTTACTGTTTCCCAGTTGTTTCGCAACTAATAGCTTTGTTAACAGAAGGCTTGAACTTCTATTACCTCCACCTATCCACCAAAATTTTGTATACAAGGGCACTATCTTCTGCTAGTTATCTTGTATACAGACGCTTTTGGCTTGCATGTCAAATATATAAAGGAGTTTCCAAGAATAGAGAAAAGTTAACCTTTATAAAAACTGCTCTGTTGAAATCACCTCACTACAGGTTACTACTCTCTAGTATCAAAAATAGACTTTTCTTTTTGTCGGAAAATTTGGTCTAAGTAATCATTAGAAAGAGTTTTATTTTTATATTATAGATTATAAATATAGATACTCAAAGATATTATTATATATATATTTCTAACTCATTTAATATTTTCACATATATTAGTTCACTTGGTTACTAAATTAGTATCTATATGTGATCTACTATATAGGATTTTACCTTCTTGTCAACTATCTTGCATTAGACCAGTTTCTAATTTACTAGCTGGTTTTCAAACCTACTATATTATATATACTTTTTTTTTTTGTATTAAGGTAACCTCTTTGGCCTGAAGACTTTTTATTAAAGATATTATAGTGTTTTATAATATAATTACAACAATAGTACATCAAGCCACACATGCACTTTGGTGTCTAATTTAAATGGTTCACTCAAGACATTAGTGCTATACTAAGGGTTCTACACTATCTGCCATCCCAACTATGGGTTACCTATTTAAACTATCTAGTTCTAACTACTATCACTATACTTTAACCTATAGATATTATTCACTATTCATACACTAGATTTTGCTTCTATCTAATTTGGATTTTGCACTCTATCTTAGAACTTATTACATAAGAGGGCTTCCAGAAATTATGTAATTTTGGGTAGATGGATAGGGTCTTCAAAATATCAGGTTATAATTCGGGTCAAAATTTTATAATTCTGGCCAAAATTATAAAATTATATGATAATAAAATCTTTAAACTTGAATACTTTTTAATCTACCAAATCTATTTAGATAATTTAACTACCAAAATAATCCTCTTAATAAGAGGAGTTTAACAAGCCCAAAATTATTAAAATCCAATTACAGAATTACAAATTAGATAATATTTTGTATTATTTTATATACAATATCTTTTTTTTTTTTTCCTTTAAAATTATCCTTTCGTTTATTTTGTTTTGTTATTAGATATAGTTCTTTTTTGTTTCATAATCAGTGGTTTTGTAGTATTAGTATAAAATTATTACTTTCTTTTGCTCTTGGTGAAGAAAGAAGAATTAAAGGAATTAGCTCTCGATGGGCTGACAAGGTCTATCCAACTTGTATACAAGATGGTGTAACGAGTTGCTTATAGGCATGGTTTCTACAACTGGGAGATGTCAAGCTTATAATTTAAAAGCTTAGTTTAGTTAGAATAGTTTTACCATTGTTGATTAAATAAATAAAGTTTTGTATTTGAGCTTTGACAAGACTGCCAAAGAGTTAAAAAAAAAAAAAAAATTTAAGTATATAATAGATTCAAAATCTATTTAGATTAAAATGATAAAAATTTTAAATCAACTTAAATTATATTCTCATTTATAATATATATTTTATAAGTAGCTGTGCAACATTGTTGTGCTAAACCAGAAGCAGACTAATATTAGCTTTATTAAGAAAATCTTGGACAACTCCAATATAGAATAGTTATTAGTTATATTTTTGAATTCAGATTAATAAATATTAGGTATACAACTAAATATAGTATAACTATATTAATAAGATACTATAATTTAAACAAACAAAAAATTTTATAAGATTTTTAGATGTATATAGTACTGTACTAAATTCCAAAATATTTAAGAAACAATAAATTTTTAGTTTTAATAAATTAAATTAAAATTAAGCAAAACCAAATTATAATCTATATTAAAGATTGGGGTTGAGATCCCATAGCCTAGTGGTCTAAACACCCAACTCTCCACGAGCAGATTTTGGGTTTAAATTCTAGTGGGTATATTTATCTATGAATATTTGGAAGTATCTGCTATAGGAAGTCCAAGTAAATACAGGTCTGGATTAGAAATTTCCGAAAGGAGGTCTATTGTGAAGTAGTTGACACTACATGTAATGGTAATCATTATAAAAGGTTTTATTATACAAAAATTGTATATATAAATTTATGATTGGCAAGATAGCACCAAACAACCCCTAAGGTAGTATTAAGGATCTTGTTTAGAAGGATGACTAGGTAGTAACTAGAATTGAAAAGTGGTGAAAAATGTGATAAACACAAAGGGACCTGTGGTAAAGAATTGGTCTTACCAGATTTGGAACACTTCTGGCATATATGGAACTTACTGGCCAATAAGAAGTTGAAGTATAGAGGCGTGTACATGTTGATAGATCTAACAGGCTCCGATCGTACTCATATAGAAGCCTTTGGCATTAAGAGGACTCGGGACCACCAATATAGATATAGCTAGTATAAGTGTATACAGCAGTAACCATAGGCTACAATTGCTAAGAATCACTATAAAAAGAAATGATGACGCACCTGTTACCTCTGAGCCTCATGATGCTATCCAACTAAACTGACTACTGGAAGCATTTGCAAAACATACCTGGGCAGCCTCGTCACTATATTGGAAAGTATAGTCATTAGCACAAACCTAATTGAATACGTTAAGACCTGGGTCCTGAAAGTCACAAGAAACCAGCTAGTTACAGCAGCATGCAGGCTTAAGATACTTATCTATTTGGGTAGAGACAGCTATATAGCTTGAGATACAAACTTCTGGAAAGTATGCTAAGTAAGGATTGAGGGAAAAATCACTTTGCCAGGTATACCAAACCAGAAGCAATAAGTGCCTATCTGGTATATACCGATTTGGAAGTTAAAGATAAAAGGTTTGTGAGTAATATGGCAGACATGTAAATACTAATTGGTGGTTGAAGAAGGATGTATAAATCCAGATCAGCTGTATAGTGGGGATATAATCGGCTCTAACAGGTTTTAGCTATGAATAAATGGTTTGTATATCTGATGTTCTAGTTTTAGTACTTGATATAATATGTATATGTATTGGCACTATTATATATCAATTATTTAAGTATTAAATAAAGTCTAAGTGCAGGTGCTACACCCTTATAATTTAAAAAAAAAATCTATATTAAAGATAAAATTATTTAAATTAATTTGCTTTGGATTTAAATTTTTAGTTTATTTTATATTAAATCTTTTCTGTATATCGCATAGGTTTATAGCTAAATAATTATAAAAGTTTTACTATATATTTATTTTATTTTAAAATTATATTTAAAAATTTTATAAGTTTATTCCTGTGCACGGGTTTTCAACTACAGTTATACTTCTTTATAATCACCCTCTATATAATCACATCATATAAAAACCTCTTTATAATCACACCTATATCTTCGCCTAATTACTATCTAATATATAACAAAAGACCTCTATATAAGCACACCTCTTTACAAGAACATTTTTTTAAAAAAGTTTTTATGGTCCCAAAAGTGTGATTATAAAGAGGTACGACTGTAGTATACTAATAAAAACAGTATTGGCGAAACTACCAAATAAAAAAAAAAACAAACAAAAATATTACATGATATTATAATTTATTTTAACTTATACTGTAAGAGCGATAATATATAGTATATTTTAGATTTATAGTATTGAAGTAAAAAAAATTTCCTAAGGTGCTTCACATCAAATGCGCCAAATTTGGGATGCTTTTTAGCCAATCAGAATACATTATATACTATGCTAATTGGATAAAAAAAATTTATTAATTTTATTTATATTAAATGCCAAAATTTTGAAAACATAGTAGCTTTAAACACTTATAACTTTAAACCATAAACTTTTTAAAAAATATTTAAAACTTGAGATTTTGTATATTTTTTAAAAAATACATGATTTTTGATGAGAAGTGACTTGGCGCACCATATTAAATTCCGTGGTTTAATAGATAATTAATAGTTTTATTATTTTTTAAACTATCAACTTACAAATACTAAGCATTGATACTCTCTAGAATATCCTGCCTTTCAGTTGAAAGACTCGAATATCGTTGCTGAAGTTCCGATTCGCGTTTTATAAGATAATCAACCTCATTTTGAAGGGACTAATAGTATTAACCATATTAATAAAGAATCGGACATTATGTGTTCGCTAAAAATGACAAAAACAATGTTAAAAATACCTGAATACGTTTTGGTATTGCTTCCTCTTCTGAGATACTTAAAGATTGAAAAGAGTCGAGTTCGATTTTTGCTTGTTCAATTTCGTCAAATGTCTCAGAAATATTCTTTGAAAGAGTTTGAGATCGGGCCTACATGTATAAATAATTTTTTTTATTACTTAAATACGGCTATTAAATATAATGCAGAAAGTTAAATACTTTCAACATACAGCATAACCACCCAATATGATATTTAGTTTTTTCTCCAATTTAGCAGCCTTTGTGGCTTCTTTAATCATCAAATTACGATTAGTCTGCATTAAGAACACAAGTTCAAATTAGTTCTTTTATCAGATAAGAATATAATTTAAAAAGAAAATGGTTACTTCAAATTGATTGCGAAATTGGTTTGTTTCGAGCGTGTTATTAATTTGGGACCATATTTCATCAAAATCTTCATTGGAAAGTTCATTGGTAACCTTTGTAAGTTCTAAATCTATTTCTTTCTTCACCTAAATTATTATAATTAAGGTGAATAATCTTGGAGATGATTTGCAAACAAATGCAAATCTTACCTGATCAATCAATTCATCAGGAAATTCTTCAAATGATTCTAAATCCAAGTTTTCCGGTTTACTTCCATGAACCGGATGCATTGCCGCGTCACGCTGTAATAACTTGATCATTTCAATATCGACGAGCTTTTGGATTTCAGAATCACTATCAAGAGCGTCTTCGAGTGAAGTATCAAGAACTGAATTGACGTTAATTGGTCGAGGAAGATCACGCTGTACAGCTTGAGACCTGCGTCTAAGACGAGCCATTTCTAATTAAAAATATATATAAATATAATAAATTGAATTATTTTTATTAAGCAATAAAGCATATATATTAAATTAATTAAATGGATTACCTTCTGCTTGTTGTAAAGCCTTCAATTTTTTATCCCTGTCACTAGCATCTTCTTCTATTCCTTCAATGTCATCTTTAAGTTCTTCTTTCCCTTCGACGTCAGGTAAAACAATTTCAAAATCATTTTTTGGTGCAGGCAAATTTAGCAATCCTGCTCTAAGCTGTTTAATAGTCGCAGTATCGACTAAAAATAAAAGTGTTGTTAATTTCAACAAAATTTCTTAATTTTTGATAATAATTGTCTAAGACTAAACAAATCAGATTATAATGAAACTGTGAAAACTCTAAAACCTCTAAAACCTCTAAAATAACCAACCCTAACCTAATTAGTGAAGATATATGGTTCAAAAAAGTTTTCCAAAAAGAATCACCAAATTTTATATAATAACGAAATATCAAGTATTTCAATTTAATCTGATTTCGTTTTATTTGTCACATAGATTAACTATTATTTTGTTTTATAACATACCAGCTGCTGGTGTTCTTGGTGTCCTAAGTGAAAGGAGAGTTCCTGGTGTCCTTGGTGTTTGTGTCGAACCGGCTACTGTCCTTGGTGTTCTCGGTGTCCTCAATGGCAGGCCAGGGTTAGAGGGAGTGTAATCTGTAAGTGATGAAATATTATCCGCTTCGCCTACGACTGCTTTAACGTTTTGACCAGCAAACCCAATTTTTACAATCTATAATGGGTAAAACATTGGTTTTTTTTAACAACAATAACAATAGTGGTATATATTGAATATTTTCGACAAACCTCCTCAAGTTCAGTTTCACCAACTTGTGGCGCAGGAAGAATTAACTTTCTTCGTTTGTTAATTTGTTCTGCCTCTTTTAATTTATTCAATTGTGCATTTCTTGCAGGTACAAAATTAATGAAGCCACCTTCGGCTTCATCCTTGTTGGTTTTTTGTTTTTTCTTCCTTTTTTCTTCTGCAATTTCTGATCTTCGTTTCCCTTCTAATTTGTGAAGGTGAACGTTGGTGAGACTCATTTCCGGTTGCCGATTTTTTTCTTCAGTAGTATCATAAAATCCCAATGCTGGTTTTTTTTCAAATGGTATGTCTGCATTATAATCCATTCCCTTTTTCTTTTTTTTCATTTTCAATCTATAAATTGATAAATTAATAAGTAATCCATTTAATTATAACGAGTAAAATGAATTTATTCCGTAATATAAACTCACTCAATACCAGCGGCCTTTAATTCACGTCTTTTTTGTAGAGAAGCAAGACGTCGAGCTTCTTCTAGTTGCTTTTCACGTGCCTTTCGCTTCGCTTTTTTGCCTTGAGTATTAGCCAACCGAGCACGGGCCTCTGATAACATTTCCTTTTCTACATAATTTCAGAGTAAAAACGAAAAGATGTAAATTTTGTAAATTATGTAATAAAAATGTTAGTAAATTAACAAACCATCCTCATCCATATCAACAGGATCGGGTCTTGCAGGTTTTGTTTCTGGATCAGGATCAATCTCTCCAGGTCTAAGTCTTCGAACATCGTCAGCACTCGGACCTGTATCACCTGCTGGCCCAGTCAAATCCAACCCTTCTTTAGCTTCTGCTTCATCAAGCAATCTCTGATACCTTTCAAGACATTGTGATGGCGTTCTTCCAACGATTGGAGCAATGGTCCGCCATTGTGTTGGCATCAATTTTGCTAAATGAAGAAGTTTTTCATCTTCTTCTTTCGACCATTCAGTCTAAATAATTATAAATCAGAATAAATTTTTTTATTAAAGTAAAAAATTTGTATTTAATTGATAGTTAGAACTCAATATAGATTAACACATACTTTTTTTATACTAGGATCCAGCCATTCATACCACCTTGCTTTACATTGTTTTGGTGACTTTCTAACTAGCAAGGATGAGATACGGGCCCATTGATTTTTGCCATATTTGCTTACGGCAGCTTTTAAAATCTCGTCTACAAAATAATCAAAATTAACATTTACCCTTTACCCTTACATCTGTTCATTTAGCCTTAGTTGTTTACCTTCAGTGTTTTTCCAGATTCCACCCTTAATGATTATTCTCATTTTAAGTTTAGAGCTTCTTTTTAGAGTTAAGGATTAAATAAAGATATATAAATTTATAAAATGAATGTGCTGGTTCGTCATATGACTGACGATGATCATCCGATATAAAAAGTTCTAAAAAGTTGTAACACCGATTACGTACTTTATAGTCGTAATCGCTATTTATACGAGTTATTTCCCAGCCTTCTTAGCAATTCCGTATATTCCTTTTCAAAATGAAGATCACAATAAAAACTTTGCAACAGAAACAGTTTCATTTAGAAGCTGAACCTGAGGATACTGTACGTACAAAGTACCTTACAAGTAAATAAGAATTTTATTAATACGTGATTTCTGCCGTTTTAGATCCTTACGGTGAAGCAGAAAATTGAAGAAAGTCAAGGGCATGCAGTTTCACTCCAAAAGCTTATTTTTTCAGGTAAGGCTATTATTATGTGTCTTTTATAGTGTTTTTATGAGTTTAAGTCTATTTCAAGGTAATAACTAATTTGAAACTTCTACTTAAAAGGAAAGGTTTTGGACGATGGTAAAGCATTATCTTCATATAATATTACGGAAAAGGACTTTTTGGTAGTTATGGTTTCGAAGGTAGATTTATGTAATTTAAGATTATATGAACCAAAAGAATTGAATATTTCACGTGTTTCTGTTTTATTATGGAAGAAATAATAATATTAATTAATTTAAATAGCCACCCGCAAAACCAAACGTGTCTTCGTCATCAAACAGTGGTTCATCCTCATCTATTGCCTCAACCACTACCCCGCAACCTAACTTAACCACTAGCGCGCCACCGCCTACAGTGATACATCCACCCATTGCCCCGATAACTTCAACTCCTTCCACACAGGAATCAGAACCAGCCCCGACATCGACTCCTGCTAGTAGTACTCCTACTACTAATCCACAATCAATAGAATCACATTTTGGCAATGAGAGCGCTCTATGTATGAATTCACAACACTAACTTTTTCTTTTCGACAAAGACAACTTCATGCGTTTTATTTAATATTTATTAGTAACCGGCACTGATTACACAAATGCTATTCAAAATATTGTGGAGATGGGATTTGATCGTGACCAAGTTGTGAAGGCCATGCGTGCAAGTTTTAATAATCCTGCTAGAGCTGTTGAATATCTCATGAATGTACGCTATAAATCGCCATAATCGTGTTAATTATTAATAATAATTTTAATAGTCATTAAAAAAATATTACTAAAAAAAAAATACTTATTTCAGGGTATCCCTGAATCTGCACAAAACGAACAAATATCTGCCGCTCCCGACCTAACAGAAAATCAACCTGTCCCACCCACAACTGGAAATACCGGTACAGCCACGCCAGGTTAACTTAACGTTTTTTATTTATGTTTTTTTATGTGTATCAATTATAGTAATTATAATAATTATAATAATTATAAGATTATTAATTATAGTAATTATAATTATAATAATTATAAGATTATTAATTATAATAATTATAATATATAATTAATTATAATAATTAATATTACCATAAACAGCTCTACCATCAAATCTTCTTCAAGCTGCTGCTTTGGCACAACAGTTACAACAGCAACAACAACAGCCGCAGCAGCAACAGGGAAATGCTGAAGAGATGGCCTCCTTAAGAAGCCAGCCTCAATTTCAACAATTGCGTCAGCTTGTACAGCAAAATCCAACACAATTGCCCCATTTGCTCCAACTAATCGGACAGAGTAACCCTCAATTGTTACAGGTGATCATTGCGTTTAAAGTTTCAAGCAATTTATATTTATATAATTATCGCTAAACTGTTCGATTCGTTAAAATATCTTTTTTTCTAGTTCATCAATGCCAATCAATCCGCGTTCACTCGTCTCTTGCTGGAAGGTGGAGATGAAGCCGGAGATAGTGGTTTACCACCCGCTCACTATGTTTCAGTTACACAAGATGAAAAAGATGCTATTGATAGGGTAAAGCGAGAAAGATTTAATTTCCTAATTTCAATATTTATTTAAATATAGTCCTGATTATTATATATTTACTTTTTAAAATCGTCAGTTGGAGGCACTCGGATTTGATAGAGCCAGAGCAATTGAAGCTTTTCTTGCCTGTGACCGAAATGAAGATCTGGCAGCCAATTATCTTTTCGATCATATGCATGAAGATGAGGCTTGATGACGTTATAATATTGGGAACGTTTAAAATAGTATAAGAAATGGGGTTTTATAATTTGGTGCACCCGCACCGCGGTGCGCCTAAGCGCGTGATAAATTTATAAAAATATAAAATTCGAAGTTTCACTTTAATTAAAAAACAATAAAAAAAAAAGTCATTGCATAATTATACCTGCTTACAAAACCCGGACAAACCCCAAATCTCAAAAAACAATTGCTTTTTTTTTTATAAAAATTTAAATTAAAAGAAAATAATCATAAAATTTTGCAAATATATATTATATATAATTATAGGAATATATATTATTTGTTTAAATAAAGATTATTAATAAAGTTTTTGGGATATTAATTTGGCCAAAGTTTAGGATCTATTACATTAGCTTGAGGTTATTGCCAGCAAGTATTATCTACAAGTTGGATTGTGTGAATACTATTATATCGACATTGCTGTATTGTGAGCACTTATGCGATAAAGCGGAAATGATAATTGTCGTTGCACATCCTTTTTTTTTTATTATTATATATTATTGAATGAATTTTTATTAAGCATTAACAAAGTTTATCCATAATTGATAATTTTAGTGTTTTTACATGATTAATAGGATTAGGGTTAGTATTTTTTGATGAAATTTTTGTAGTCCCGTGGTTACACGATCTAATGTCGAGGTTAAAGTCGTACATCCATACATTTAAAATCATCACACTTTTGTGCAACAGTATTGTCATTTCGTTCATGTGGAGTGTAGCTAAAAGAGAACATCAAAGACCCATAGTGCGTTTGTAAATGGTACGTACGTACGTACATTCGTACATACCGATACGTTACGTTCTTAATCTGTAATCAGAACAGAACTACACAAAAAAATATCACTCCAGATTCAGAATATAAATTGGTTAATGCTGATTTTTTAAAGTATATATCAATATTAAGACAACTTAAAATCATAAAGATAAGCATTGTAACAGTGAATGAATAGAATTGTTTTTAGCCCTGATCGTGATTCAGAAAGCATTTTTCAGATACATTTTTGGGAATTGATATCAAATAGAAAGCAATATATATGTATCTTATCTAATCTTTTGACAGGAGTTTATAACCATTGATAGTAAGCATATAAATAGTTATTAGTTTTGTTTATAAGTAGTGCTTCAGAGTGGTGGTGTAGTCTTGTACTATTTTTAAGTACTGGTAGTTCATTCATATTCACTTTTTTATAAATTATATTTTCGCTTCAAAATTCCGTGATTTTTCTTTCCTTTTTTTTATATATACAGATATAAATATATAATATATATATATAAAAAAAAAAATCAGGCGGTCTGGATTTAAACGAACAGTTTGCCACATTGGTCGTAACTGACGTTAAACCAGAAACTCCTGCTTCACCCGACAAGCTTCTCCTAGCACAACACGTTTTTCAGAAAAGGCCACCCAAAACAATTTAGAGAAATCAACACCTTCATTAAATAGAATTACTACAACAAGTACATCTCAAGAATGACGACAAAAGCACCACGAAAACCACTTCTGATGAAACTTCCTGATTCGGACTCTGTAAAAAATGACTTTTTTAAGTTTTCAGAGTTTGTGTAAGTATGAAACAAAACTAAAAAAAAAGGGTTATAAAACAGTTTATGCTTAATACTTTTTTACTTTATACTCTTAGAGACCCGTCAGGAAAGCTTAATTTTAATGGTAAAGCAATCATACATGCCCAAGGAGTGGATTTTAGCAATGGCACCAGTTACAAGATTAATATGCAAGAATTAAAGGTAATGGAAGAAATTGGAAAAGGACAATATGGAACAGTACAAAAAGTATTCCATATACCTACCAATGTTACAATGGCTATGAAGGTTAGTATTTTAACTTTTATTTATAAAGGATGAATAAGAGATTTAATAACTTTTTTTTCTTTTTTATAGGAAATCCGCCTTGAACTTGATCAAGCAAAATTGAAACAAATATTAATGGAGCTGGATATTCTCCATAAAGCTAAAAGTGAATATATTGTAGATTTTTACGGAGCTTTTTTCATCGAATCTTGTGTATATTATTGTATGGAGTATATGGATGCTGGATCATTAGATAAATTATATGGAAATGGAGTACCTGAAGATGTACTTGCAAAAATTACAAATTCTGTAAGTATATTTTTTTTTATTTTAATAAGTTTACACTTTACAATAAATAATTAGATAAAAAAATAAATTATTAATATTTTTATTATAATGTATAGATGGTAAAAGGGTTATCATTCTTGAAAGATAAGTTGAATATCATTCATCGTGGTATGTGATCTTTAATATATGAATATATAATACATATACTGTATATATATATATGTATATATATATATATGTGTGTGTATGTATATGTATATGTATATGTTATATATTCTTTTTCTTTTTTTTTGGTTTAAAAAGGATGGATGACAAACAATATATTTTTATTTTTATTTTACAGATGTAAAACCCACAAACGTTCTTGTAAATAGAGCAGGTGAGGTAAAGCTGTGCGATTTTGGAGTATCCGGTCAATTGACACAATCACTTGCGAAAACTAATATTGGGTGTCAAAGTTATATGGCGGTATGATACAAAGAAAATAACTTGTTAGTCAAGTTAATAATAATTTTTCGTAAGCACTGAAACGAATAACGAATATTCTTTATTTAGCCTGAACGGATACATAGCAGTGAAGCTAGCACATACACCGTGCAATCAGATGTTTGGTCTCTTGGATTAGCCATGGTTGAACTTGGAACCGGAAAATATCCATATCCTGTTCCGGATAAGAATGAACAAATTAGTATGTTTGTTCAGTTAAATGCTATCGTCACAGGAACACCACCATCGCTACCTGAGGACAAATTCTCAGAAGAATGTCGAGATTTTGTAGCTCAATGGTACGTATCAAACCAGTTATTAACCTAATTATCGGGCTATTTATCAAACTATTTATTAAATTAGTTATTCAAAATCATTGCTTTATTTTAGTTTAAGTAAACGTCCTCAAGATCGTCCTACATACAAGCAGTTATTGGTAAGTATCGCTTAAATAAAAGATTTAAATTTCGGAAGTTGATTTTCATCATAATTTGAATGTTTTCTATTTCCACTTTTATAAGGCCCATACTTTCTTAGTAAAATATGAAGAGCTAGAAGTAGACATGAAATCATGGGTAGAGCAAGCATTATCTTTAAGGAAGAATGAAGAGAATGAACAGAATGAACCATAGTCATAACGACTGTTATAAAAACTACATTTATATAGTTTACAAATTATATGTACGATTTAATAAATTTCACTAATCTAAAATCTTGAAATTTGATGGACGTCCATACATTTGTGCAATTAAGAAAATTCTTCTATTTTATTCAATATATTAAACCAATTTTTTTTTTGTTCATTTCGGTTTTTTTTTTTTAAATATGCCTATAAAAGTATAAAAAAAGTGATATCATTATAGATATCACGTAGTAGACTCTATAGAGCAGTATTCAAATATTGGAGGTATCGGTACCAGGTTTTTTTTCTGTTTTGGTATCACCTAGACTGCATGCACAATGTTGTAAACAAAAGACCGATAGAAATTCTACTGCGCATGGTACTAACCATAGGAAGTATATGATTGCTGATTGCTTGATTACATCACAGGATTTATAATTTAAGAAGAGACAACATTCCGTAATAGTAAATACGTGACTAAAAGAAGTCATGTAAATCTAAATATATCAATATTAATCCGAAAATTTAATTTATATCACGCGTCAAATAGATATGAATAGATAATATGAATACAGTAGATAATATGAATAGATACTGTATGAATAGATATGGTGAGTGGATGGCATTTACAAACAAAAACCAAAAAGCAAGGTAGTATGAAGGCACATTCCCTCGCAGACAAACATTGTAGTCCTAAAAGGAACAATTTTATTGGTATTTTATTTTATATTTTTTGGAGAAAAACACAATGCAGGCACAATTCACTTAAAAAACAGAAATGAACAAAGGAGTTGTATGCTTTAAACTCAATTGAACTTAACCGGTTCTTTAATAATTGTATATAATCTTGTTCCCTACAAAGTTTGATTGGTTGTTAAGCAAGGTAAATTATGCTATCTACTATTGATGCAATCATGAGAGTATTGTCAAGTAGTTTAAGGATAGTTTGTAATGGAATAAATTAAATAAATTAGTGAATACACATCAATATATATATATGTATATATATACAAAATATACAATATTATGTCGATATTATGTCGATATTATGTCGACATTAAATGTCACGGATCGTCAGAAAATTTCCAAACAACTTTATGATTTTATCCAACCGGGTTACACTGCTACGTTACCGTTTTCGTTATTCAATAAAACAATTGCATTTATTTAACAACTATTTTTTTAAAGCAAATTGTAATACCCTGACGTTAAAAAATAAAACGCAATGCGTGTATTATTTTTTAAGGAAAAGAATAATTCATGTGTAAATTACCAGAGGCTTGTTTTCAAACCTATCCATTTATGCTAATTTTTATTATCGAGAATTCTCACGGATAAATCTTTTGAAAATCAGTTTTAATTCGAATTATCGATATCCGATCATCTCGATCTGTTTGGTACTTTCTAAATTTTTATATAATCCAGTAATCGTGAGTTTGATCAGGAGTTATAGCTAAACTTTATTAAGGATGCCCTTGTAAATGGCTTTTAATCACACTCCGAAGAAAGGGCATTGATGCATTGAAGCATTATAAGATACTTTTATGGCACAACATCACACAAAAAATCATGTTCCCGTACTAACAAACACTGATTGATGTATCTCACATCATCATAACGAAGTTATTGAAGTACTCCCCTTTCATGTTAAGATTGAATCATGCGCTGACTTTTAAATTGGTAAAAAATACTAGGAAAAAAACCCCGATTAGATATGAAATTTCTTCAGTTTTTAATGACACATATATTACATTACTCTACGCTTAATAATGCTACTTATATGTACATGTATAAATGGTGAATAGCCGGTTATTGTATGTTAAGAGATTTAGCATTGTAAAGAATATATATTACTCAGTCTTACCAATTACTGAAAGGATTAAAACTCCTCTATCATTTATCAATTGAATAGATTGATGCGTATTGATAAATATAACTGTATATGGTTCATTTACCTTTTGCTCTAAATCCTTTGAATACGGGTTCACTCTTTCCCCTAAACACCTACTTACGTACTTTTCACCCCCCAAAAAAATAAGAAAACTAATCAATCATCACATTTTTTTTTTTTTTTTTTTTTTTTTCTGACTTGATTGCATGTGCGGCTGTCCATTGTTTGGTAAAGTTGTATAAAGCAATGCTTGATTGATCAAGCTTTGATTCCCCCTCTCCGTTGATGCTCCTCCTCTTGAACCGCAAAACTTACTAAACCCTTTTTTTTTCTCTTCACTGTTATATATAAAAAAAAACTTTTCTTAAACGCGTTGAAACAGAAACAAATACCTTTTAAAATTATTTGAAAGAACGCATATAAGCTTTTAAAACTTTAAAGAATCTATTACTTTGAAAATTGAAAATAATGTTTTCTACTGACTCGTCTGAGAATTCAAAAGGTATGCCTCTTTAAAAAATATATGTTTTTGTATAACTTGTTGATTTCTTCTAACTATTTAACTAATATTGTTTGGTTTTTTAAAAAAAAGTTGTTCCTTTTCGCGCTACTAATTGCGTGGAAAACACTAAAAACACTAATGGTCCCCTTTCTTGTCACCATAACATACCCCCTCCACAATTATACTCTTCAAATACGACTATGCTATCATTCAATAATGTTGAACAATCGTATTCAAGAGTAGTTGGTCAAGTCTATTCTAGAGAAACCGTTACGACAATTTATGGTGATCCGACTTCATCAAATTGTTGGGTAAGTTGTGCTACCCCTCGGAAAATATTTTTTTCCACTGTGGATGCTACATCAACTTCTATGCTGTGTGCTGTCTCGTGGTTTCTTCATGTGTGCGGTTGTGAAACTGTCAAAGAGCTGTCAATTTCCTTCCAATTTTTGTCCGGTCTTATTTCCTAATTTGACATTAGAATTTCTAAAGATCTGCAATTCTATTTAATGTTAAAGAATCAACGTCAAGTCGGTTTCTATTGTTATGTGTGTCATTCCATTATAAATCCTCAAGATTTTCATTCTTGGGTTTCTTGCGCTTCAACGAATTGTGACGTTTACGCTCATGGTGGTATGTTATCTTCGTTATCTTTTATTATCCCACTATCACTTGTTATAATTGCTATTATGTGCTATGATGTGTTATCATTTTATTATTATATATATCTTATATTATTATGTGTTATAATCTATCGTTATATGCTTACTATCTTAGCTATTCCATATATAGCGAATAATATGTCACATGCTATTTTCTTTCTAATATGAACTAATATGAAATATTTATATATGTGCATTTTTTTTTATGCTAGGATGTTTAATGAAAAATGGGTTTCATGATAGGAATGGCTCTTGGTATTGTCCAAGATGTATTTCTGCTACTCATCAATCATTTTCGGTGAGCGATACTTGTACGAATCATTTCAATTTCCCTTTTTCCTTTAGTTTATTATCTGACCTTTTTTTATAGGCCCCTGTTCGTTCAATGGAACAAATTACCTCAAACTCTGTTGAAAATAATCCTTCTCCACCAATAAATCCATTACATTTATTGTTGGAAGCTTCTGATCAAATAGTATGTAATTCTATATTTATGTATTTATATATTTATATTTATATTAATATTAATATATTTATATATTATTTTATTTATATATTTATATTAATATATTAATATATTTGTATATTTATATAATTTTATCCATTTTTACTTATTATATCATTTATGCTAATAAATATTTTACTCATTTTATGCGTTTTACGCTTATTAGCAATCAAATTCGGGTCCTGATAATAATATCTCGGTCAACACTCCCGTAATTCATCGAGAAACTACATCATCTCAATATCCTGATGTTAATAACAACTCTTCTCATACCGACTTTATGTCCTGCGATCCCGTTCCTGATCAACGTCTTTTGAATTATAACACGAATATTGATTTAATGTGTGCTAACGGTGATCATGATGATGCGGAAACTATGCCCGCAAAGTTTAAAGCTCAATATGCTTCTCATAATGAAGGTTATTATACTTTCATTTTTTTTGTATTTCATTTTTTTTAATTTTTATTATTATCTAAACTATTAACTTTATTATTATTCTTTATTAGAACGTAATAACGTTATTCGTAATCTTGAACGTACTCGTATGCGTCAAGATAAAGTCTCTGATGCTCTTAATGATTCTTTAAATCGTCTTACTGATGAATTCAACAAGCATCTTAAAAATAATCATAATTTACGTGAAGATAATAATAAACTTAACAATGCTTTGCAAAAACTTAAACTCGCTTTGATTCCTTTAGCTCAAGAAAGGCCTGTTTTGCAAGTATTACGTAAGATAACTCAGAACGATAATTTACAAAGTCAAGATATAACCACCGACAACGTTTTAAATTTGTTTATGGGTCTTTTACCTCAATCTACTATCTCAAATTTATTCGGTACCTCTTTATCAAATCATATGGGTACTTCAAGTTCTTCTTCCACTATTCAATCTTATTCCTCCCCTTCATTGGATTCTTGTCAAAAGTGTTCAAAATTTGGTGAAAATTTGATCCGTTGTTATTTTTGTCAAAAAGTTCAACATGTAGAATGTTGTAGTAAAGATGAAAAATCTTCGATTGATACCATGAATGAACGTTGGACTTGCGTAGATTGTAAAGATTCTTCTATGGCTAAAAGAAAGCATTACAGTGATAAAAAATCCAATTCCAACGGTCCATCATTAACTTTAATTGGAAATTATAAACGTATCAAGACAAATGATAAAAACTCTTTAAAAGACAATTCATCTTTATATAGTATTAGCACTCATAACCTTGATAATTCTGGCGTTTTATCTCCTCAACTCACTCCACAACAATTAAAGTCAACAAACGGTGGCACTCAAAATAATGTTGATGATATGATGGAACGTTATGCTATGCCACATACTCCAATGTCTGACGATGATAAAATTACTAGTGATGATAATGATAGTAGCTTTAGTAGTGATTTAGAAATCGATGATGAAAGCCATAAAGATAATTCAACACCTGGAACTTTTGATCGAACTCCTCCACCTGATAATGGTCCAGAAGCTTCTAGACAACCTGCTCGTTTCGATGGTGACATGTAAGTTATTTTTATTATAAAATAATAAATAAATAAATAAATATAATATATGTTGTAATATATAATAATAATAATCATAATCATTATTATTATTATTATTATTACGTATTACGTACTATTTTTTATTATATTAATAATAAATGAATCATTTACATCGCATATAACCTAATATAACCTATAATTTTTAAATAATTAATCTATATAATCGGGTATGATCGCATATATTTAGGTATACACCACGTTGGGTTCGTGGTGTTGGAAAATCGAAAGAAGGTCTTTGTCCTCATTGTGAACCCGCTCGATGGCTTAAAACGAAAATTTCTGCTTATTGGTATGCTAAATTTTCTATTTTCAATCGATTTAAGGTCATCCGACAACTTACGACAGTCACACGACAATATTAATATAGTTTGGGTGACTTTAACTCGGGTCAAAATAGAATTTCCATTATTTATTTATATAAAAAAAATTTACTCATTTATACGTGTTAGGTATCATTTGAATTATCAACATGGGATCTCTTCAATTACTGGTAGACCATTTGCTCAACCAATTGCTGAACGACTTAATAAGAAATCAGGTATGAAAGAGGCTTTGTGTCATAAATGCAATAAATGGATCCTGAATCAATCGCCAAGAGATAAGGATGTTTTGGTTCCTGAAATCTATTGGTATGTTTAATTTTTATCTTTTCTGAAATTATTCAAAAATATATGTTAATCGATTTTTTTATATTTTTAATATTAGGTATAAACATGCACAAAAATGTCATCACACTTAAATTTTGGTCCGAGTGAATTGTTGACATGTTGTTTAATATATGATCCTATGATGGTCTCAATAGTAAAGTGAAAAAAATTTTTTTTCATTTCAAATAACCTCCCAACACTCCAATTGTGAAAGGTTTTTCGGGTTTCTTTCCGGGTTTCAAATTCCTATTTTCGTAGCGCCGCAGTATTGTTTGTTTGTCTTTGAAATTATGTATTGATTGCCAATTAGCATGTAATTTTCCTTTCCTCTTTTTTTTTCAATTAAATCCATCTTGACGACGTAAATTGAACAATGGAAAATAAAGTTGATTCTGTGTAAGGAATCTGGTAAAGCTTTACTCCGTAAATGCCTAGAAACATATCATATTTGTGTCCTATTACTGTACTATATTCGGTATAAATTTGCAAACATTAGTTACAATCTGATATCTCTGGATATCTCCGCTATCGGATAAAATTGGTCATATTACCGTATAAAATACAGTATTCTGATCCTTCTTGGCAGCTTTTTTAAAGTCTTAAGGCGTTTGTGGTACGGATAATTTGTAATCCCATTTTATTAAAAGGTTCAATTAAACCACAATCAGAAAAAATTTTTGATGATACTTTTTCACATATGCAAATCATATAAAATGGTAAATGGCATTGACTTTAGTAATTTTACAAAGATTGAACGATCCTTCGTTTTTCTTTCCTTGTCAAATCTTATTCTAAAAAATTCATAAAGAAAAAAAAATATGGTCCGAGCGCACCAAAAAATTAGCTTTGAAAAGCCTCCTTCAGGTCCATATAAGCCATCTTCGAGCTACGTACTGGGAATTAGAATTTTTGAAGCTTTATCTAGTATAGCAATCGTAATTTCACTTGCTATTACTGCGGCTTATCATAATATACTATATAATAACGGAATTAATTACGATGGATCTAAATTCGGTTCGAGTAATGATTCGGGTTTTGACCATGATGGCGTTATGCCATGGATAATTTATGGATTAGTAATTTCAGTAACGAGTTTTGTAACTTCTACAATTTTTATGCTTGACCGTGAGGTAAAATTCTCACTATTACAAGCAGTGACCTCAATTATTTTTTGTGCGGGTTACGTAGCTTATATTGTAGTTGGAGCTTTAAACACTCCAACTTGGTTAGATTGTAGTTCTATTGATAGTTCATCAGGTGCAGATGCAGATTTAATTGGTGCAATGAGTAACAGATGTTCTGCTCCAAAAGCTGCTGAATTTTTCGCTTTTGTTGCAACTTTTGCTTATTGTTTTAGTGCATCTACTGCGATAAGGGTTTTTCTTGATAGTAAATTTGGTCCAAAAGTTGAAGCTAAGGAAAAAACTAAGGAAGATATTGAAGTCTAATTATGAATATACATATATATATAATATTTTTTTTTTACATGTAATTCTTTATCTGAATATAAATATAGGTTATGTAATGTAGAAGTGCGTAATAAAACCAATTTTTGAGCACGTGATAAACTGATAAACGTGCAACTTGGATTCTAAATTTATATAATGATTTTCAATCAATTTTTTTTTTCCTTCTCTACTTTTTGGTAAATAGACAAGAGAACTTGTTTTACCATGGTATGCTTTTTGTCTTGGTCTTTCAAGTCACAATAAAGTAGCAAACTGTCTGTAAAAATATCGAAGTGAATTACTTTTATATATTTACCTGAAATTCGTTATTTCGTTATCGATCAATGTACTCTTGCCGCTTTACTGATCAAAATTTCTAAAAAAAAAAGCCCTCTCATAAAACATTCAGGATCAAACGTGTCCTTGGAAAGAAACAAAAACAGAATCGTCCTATTCCTCAATGGATCCGTCTTCGTACTGGAAATACGATTAGGTAAGTTTTTTCTTTTTTGGTGCGGCCTACGAACGAAGTCTGATTAACGGTTCTTGATTAAATACCCAGATATAATGCTAAACGTCGTCATTGGCGTCGTACCAAGCTTAACATTTAGCTTATCAACTAAGGCTGTGACCTAAGCTTTTTTTTTTGAATTATGGCATTACTACATAATTTGGGGAATCGGGATTTCTACTTCATTTGGGATAATGACCAAAACTCAATATATATCCCATTTTCGATCAATATTGTCAAACTCAAAAACCAATCAAATATGTTAATGCTATAAAATTATTAAACTTCATTATTTTGATCCTAAGAGTGATTTAGTGAACTAGGCAAGATATTGGGCAAAAAGTATTATGTTAGGTCTAATATGTGCGCAATAAGTGAAAAATAATTATAAAAAGTAAAGATTTTAAAATAATTGCTTTTTTCACCGAGTTCCTTCGAAATTTGAGTAGAAATTTCTAAAAGTTTTTAGTCAGTTGTTTTTATTTTGATTAATTTATACTGTAATTGCCAATTGACAAATGGATTATTTGTGGCTTGAACCAATTTTCCACAATAGAAAGCTATTGGAACTTTTTTACTATAATTTTTTTAGTAAATTAATACAAAATTTATAAAAGAAATAATTGCTTAAAACAAAAAATTAAAATTGATTAGATTAATTAGTTGGTTTATTGCAAGTTTACCAAAATGCATCTACTGTATAGTACTGACTATAGATACTATTTCTCAAAAATGTACTAATTAGCATTTGAAGGTAATTTATATATTTTATTATTTTATTTTATTATTTGATTGCTAGTTTTTTTTCAACAAAATCAGCAATCTTTTTTTACTAATAAATTCTATCTATCCTATTAATTATTATAAGGTGAGAGGGCTCTCAACCGTGTATTGATTGATCATTCGTTTTTTATACTTTATACTAACTCTCACTTTGCTAACCTGACAACCTTATGGGGTGGATGTGTCTGGCTAGTTTTCATAATTGTGATTTTTAACAAATTATTTATGTTATAAATTCAGACAAGAGGAATGTCTTTTAAAGAAGAAATAAATCTTACTGTGACTAAGAAAATTCAATAGTTTAGAGAAAATAAAAATACCAATTATCAAAGACCAATTATGTTTCTTGATGATAAGAGATATATTACAGAATATATTCAAATCAAAATTTTTTCTAATATCAATGTTTTACTTGATAAAGAGCATAAATCTCTAATTAAATCTTACAAATTCTATTTTGATAAAGAAAACAATATTTGTTATGATAAATCTAAATATTTGCTAGAATTATTGTATTTAAATATCAATTTGATTTATATAAATGTAATATTATTTATTAAAATGAAATTTAAATATTTCTTAAATAAATTTAAATATTTATTAAAAAATTTAAGTTAATTATATATCAAAACATTTTTAAATGATTGACAAAGATACGCAACTCTCCCCGACGATCACTTGGACCACCCTCCTCACAGAAAGGAAAAGTAGAAAAAGTTTACTGGAGAGTTGTGTAGCTACAGGCCGGTTTGTAGTGAGATCAAGTGGACTCCTTGCTATGTTCAGCATGCAAGCCAGAAGCTGAAAACCGGATTTGTAAAGGGTGAAGCGATATATTTTCGCGAGCAGGTGGCGCCCTGCACGAAGTGAAGTATAATTCTGGTGGTATTTTCATTACCGTCGACGAAGTTTTGTAGACTA